CTTTGTCGCAGTCGCACGTTCTAGAGATGGGACTAGTCGTTCACTTAGGTGAACTAGTTCGTTCGTTCTTCGTTCACCAAATTGAACTAGTTCAGTGAACTAGTTCACTGAACGATCAAACTGAGCGATTGAACTATACGTAAATGAAACTAGTATTTCACTGAACGATCAAACTGAACGACTGAACTATACGTAAATGAAACTAGTTCACTGATAACACAGTACATTAGTACAATAATCCGAGTTCCTAACCTTAAATCGTTCTAGTAGTGAACGAAAACGGAAATTCGTTCACTAGTCACTACCGTTCGTTAACGTCTTAGTAGTTCGTAGTAGTGAACGACGAACGTATAAGATATACCCGGTTACCCGGTATACAGTATACAGTGTAAAATGAACGATGAACGATGAACGACGTCGTTCATCTAATGGTGAACTAGTTCGAATCGTTCACTTTGGTGAACAGTTCAATTGAACTAGGTCGTTCACGAACGACACATCTCTAGCACGTTCGAGTCGAGTAGATCGAGCACTGGAGCACTGTGTCGCGTCCGGCTGTTTGCTGCCGTTATGCGATCACCTCGTGGTGCGCAATTATTAAATATTAATTTGTGCGTTGTGGTATTTCAACGGTCGTGTCGACCACCGTGCTGGCTTTTCGCCGTTGTTGTCGTCACTATCGTCGATCCACCGCCAATTGCGTCGACTATTATAACCATAGATATTAAAGAATGGATAGGCCATGGCTACATTAATAAAATGGAGGTTCGTGTGCCGGAGTGGGGAAGAGAGAAAGACTGTTTTTCATGATTGTATCTCATTCTGGCAGAAGTCTTATAATATATTATACCGTAAAACGGGGTCACTTGGATCAATTTTAGAGGTTATTTTCCTATAAGTTCGTGAATTTTGTAACTATAAAAAAAAAAACTAAGTTGTAACGTTAATTTAAGCATTTCTCGATACCTATGTGTATACTAGGGTAATGGCACCAGTCTTTGGCAGTTTAATAGTTATCCTGTGAACATTCCATTCAACTAATTTTATTATGACCTAATAAATAGAATACTTTAAATCAAATTATCTTATATTAAAGAGAATTTTATCCCTTTTAAACTGGTATTAATTTTATTTCTATTGAAAACAAGCTCGAATTTATTTTAAAAACTATATGGACTTATTCCAAATTCCAATCTTGGCATAAAAAAGCTAGTGTATGTCAATAATTATCCCAGTCTTTGGCAGTTAATTAAAAATTAAAATATCATCACATTTTAATTATATAAATTGATTACCTACAACATTATAATATTATTACAACGTTGAATACATCTAATATAGAAAAAATAACAAATATAAATATCAAAATCAAAATCAAACAATATTAATTAAAAACGAATAATAATAATAATCATAACTTAGTAACTTATAAAACTATTAAAAATGTATGACTTAACAGTTACATAAAATATAAATAGCTAAATATTATCTTGACTATAGATAGTATTGTTTAGTATTTTTAAACATTCTGTGACAAAATCATAAAAATTAAATTAACAACTTTCAAATAAAAAAAAAGGTGGGCAAGTGGGTGTCGCTCTGCTGTACAGTAGGTTACAAGTGGGTCACTGTATAATGGATGATATTAAATTTGAATTCAACGATATAATATCATTGTGTAAGAAAAACGATTCTGAGCGGAGACGGTATGTCAGTCTATGTATAAGACATATTAATACATATCTATGGTATTAAACAAAAAATTGACCTATAATAAATTCCAAATTCATCATAATATTATCACAATATCAATTAGGTACTTATAAGCGTTATACATCAACAAAAACCGTGATACTATCATAGATATATAATAGTACACTTTAGAAGTTTCAAGTACCCACGAATAATATTATTCAATCACAACAAAATAACTAAAATAGTTATTCTAGGTTTTTTAATATGTAATTTCGTCCAAATTTGAATTTAAAATGTCTGTAAAAAATAACTATGTTCATATATTTTTTAGATTTTTGGTTACAGTATGAACTATTTACGAGAACCTTTGTGTTGAATTTGCAATCCTTAGCTATAAAAACTGAACATTTTATAATTTATTAATTACAATGATTGATAATTTTTGAGATTTTGATAAATTTTTTCAAAATTTGATCTTTAAATGCTTAAAAAAAAACACTGTGCCTATGTATTTTTAATATTTTTCAACTGATATTGTAACAATATATCAGGAGCCTTGTATTAAATTTTTACACTTTTTGGCCCAACAGATAAAACTTTATTGATATTTATAGAAAAAAAAACTAAAAAAAATTGAAAGCTGTAAATGTCCATAAACAGCTCAAAAAGAGTCAAAATATTTTCAAAATTGTATGGTGTATAGGAAACGCTAATATAAACATTCAGTGAAATTTTCATGTATCTACAGTTATTCGTTTTTGAATTACAACAAAATAAGGAAATCGCTACATGAGAAATCGAGTGAACATTCAATGTTGTAAAAATTTGAATTTCAAACGCTCATAAAAATTTAATTTGACTTTCCGGTAGAGATTTTTTTATTGATAAAGGTAGACAAACTTATGAGTAATCTTGTATTACATTTTCAAATCTTAGATTTAAGAAGAAAAATTTTTACGAATTCTTAACTCAAAATAATTCGCTAATTTTCGTGATTTTTCCATATTTTTACAATTTTTGAACTTTGAATGCTTATAAAAAAAAATTGTGACTAAGGATTTTTAATATTTTAAATGTTTTTCCTTAATTTTTATGTTGTTTTTCGCGGCGCTTGTGAAAACTACTGGGAAATTTTTACTTTTGACCCCCCAAAGTACCAACTATATTCACTTTCATATCAGAAAAGCTACCGTTGACGAAAATCCAAGCACTTTTACTGTCTTAAAACGTGATGACAGACACAAAAAAAAATTAAAAAATATAAAATGTGTGCAGTCATAATGGAATTATTTTGCACAACCATCACATTCTATCCATTTCTTTTGTATACCCTTAACTAATTCTGAATTATACCTACTACTACAAACTTTACATCTCCAATCTTCTTCTGTATCGTTCACTACTTTTTTTTTTTATTTTTATTTTTTCAGATTTTTTTGCAATAGTCTTTCTTTTGTTTTCTTCTCTTTTCCTTTTTCTTCCTTCTTTTAATTTTTCTTGAAGTTATTTTTCTTTCTGTTTTTTTCTTCATATTCCTGACATTTTCTTGAAGTTACTACAGAAGGCATTTGCAACCTACGATTAACTTTTCTTTTTTTTTCTGGAGTTTTTGGCCACAAAAGGTTCCTTTTGAATGGCGATGGAACTCCTTTTCCACCGGTTTCTGGAGAAAGTTGTTTTGCCAGTTCATCTCTTCTCTTTTCTTCAGATGAAGGCTCATTTGCAGTAATGCACCTTTGAATAGATGATACATCAATTATTGTTTCATTATTCGATCGCACTGTACTGTCAGAGTTATCCAATAAAATTGGCCAAGATTCAATATCGTTTGGGGAAAAATATTCAAGAATTTCCCTTTCATTCTGAACTTCTGTTATTCCTGAGGATAGCAAATATCTTTTTCTCCAAACACTAAACAGATCTTTACTCTCAGTTGGTCCAATCCACAAATCATCATTGATTCTTCTTTGAATAGTTCTAATAAATGACCATCAATTAAACTTTCCAAATAATCATGTCCCGAGTTCTTTACATGATCATTTGAGGTATTAGGCTCTGGTGATGTTTCTATTACTGTGTTTTCCGAGGGGTTTTCTGTCATATTAATGTCTATCTGAGAACTATTAATTGTTGAGCACTTGCTGTAGTCAATAGCCTGAGGATTCCATGGAAATAAACCGCATGTTGAAAATCCACTTTTAATAGTACCTTCAGTAAGCCTATTCTTCATAACTCTACTTAGCATAGGAGAAAAGTGTAACCTAGTAAGAGGTTCTTGACTTTCCATACGCCATTTATGAACTTCTTTAGCCCATTCTTGTTTTAATGGGCCAAACATAGCAACATCAAGAGGTTGTTGTATATGTGTTGCATTAGGGTAAAATGCAATTATATGAATACCTTTACTTTCGCAAAACAAACTTAAGTGGTAAGTTAGATGAGACACATGGCCATCTAGAAATAAAATAACTGGTACCTTAATGTTATTTTCCACTAACTAAGGGTAAAAAACATTAAGGACATACTCAAAAAAAGTTTCCCCAGTGATCCACCCTTTATCAGACTTAGCCATGGCCCAATCCTCAGGCATAGTGCTGGCAATTCCTTTAGGCAGTCTTTTCCCAGCAAAAACAACCATTGTTGGTGCTACAACACCAGCTGCTGATACATTCACTAGGACAGTGATTTGTTGTTTTTCATTGTTTCCAACTACTTCATATACATTTTTTGTACCGCGAATACTTAAAACTTTTTCCCCTTTTGGGCACATCTTAAACCCAGATTCATCAGTATTAAAAATTCTGCAAGAATCATCAAGGATATCATTTAAATTATTGTCAGATAAAAATTCTTCAACATTAGAAAACCAATTCAATATATGTTCCTTAGTTACACAAGATCTGGATTTGGTTAACTTTTCAACAGTTCGCTTTGCAACTATAGGATGCCTGTTCATGAGAAATTTCAACCATTTTTTACCTGGCTTTCCATAAGGAAATTTGGTGTCTAAGTTTAAATCTTTAACTATTTTTTCAACAGATGATAATAGATCATTACTAACAATAGGAAACCCTTTATGACTCATAACTTCTATCCATTTAACCAGCAACACTTCATATTTTCAAGAATCGGTTCTGGTCCAAATTTCCGAACAGATAAATCTACTTTGCCACTAACTATATTTTGTAGACTTGACCTAGGAACATTTAAGGTTACACTTGCTTTGTATCTTGTCACCTTACACTATACAAATATGAAATATAAAATTAAGAAATAAAAAATGCACAAATACAAATCATATTATTTTAAACTAATAATATGTTCCTATCTTTTTGAAGAGCAAACTGGTTTAACACTTCATCGGGATTAACTGTAACATCTCTATGGACACTTAATAGAGCTAGTCCAGTTAGTCTTTCTTGTCCCGTAGAGTTCCGTAAAAATGTCTTGACGCGTTTTAATGTCGAAAAAGTTCGTTCGGGAGTTGCTGTAGAAACCGGTAATGTAGCTAGTACTTTTAATAAAAAATGAATATTTGGAAAAAGTTCAGGATTACAATAATTTAGTGCTTCTACAGCTGTATGTGGACGATCTACATCTTTGAAAGCAATCCATTTTATTTTCCACAATTTTAGTTCTGAAGGTAATGTGTCAACATTTATAAAATCTGAATATATACTAAAATCTGATTCTAAAATTGGAGATTTCAAACACATTTTTGGTATTAATAAATACAAAGACGATAAAATCGTCTTGTGTTTGGAAAACCGTTCTTTAAGTTGACTAATAAAATCATCATAGAATGGAATTGCAATTGCAATACGAAAATAGTCTTCAGGAATTTTGGTATCCACATTTATTCTAGTTGTTGAACGACTTACTAACCTTGGTATTTTTATTTTTTCTTCCTCGTTCACGGATATGAACAATTGTTCTGATTTATTGAATATTTTTTTGAAATTTTCATTAATATTTGTTCGCATATCTTTCACTTCACTTAAAACAGTTTCAACATGATCTACTGCTTCACTCAAATCACATTTCACCGACTGCAATATTTTACATAATGGCAAAGTTATAGAAAAAAGTGTGGTCGCAGTTATCATACTTATTATAAATTCACTAGTTGTTACACACTTATATAACTGTAAAGCTTTAGATGATGTTTCAATGTCAACAAATAATTGTAGTTCTTCTAATGTTGCAACAATAGATTTATATATTTCTGAAAATCTAAGCATACCATCATGATTTTCAACCCACCTAGTCTCACACATGGAAGTTAATTTTGTCCATTTAGTTTCAGGAAGAAATTCTTTTATTTTATTTTTTAATAATTCAGTTCGTTTGGCCGACATTTTAATAAAATTTCCTACAGATTTTATTGTTCCAATACAATTTCGAATATGGTGAATGTTTGACGAATGAGCAAGTGCTAAATTTAACGAATGTGCACTACAGTGGACATAAAGTGCAGCGGGATGTACTTCTCTTATAACAGACTGTACTCCTTTAAAATTACCACTCATGGCTGCGGCGCCATCATAGCCTTGGCCAAGTAAATAGTCACATTTATACCAAGATTTTTTAAAGTAACTATAATTACTGTGGCCAAATTTTGACCAGTGGTAGAATTTACCGGTACAAATTGTAAGAAGTCTTCTTTCAATACATAATTGTTGATTTCATTTTTTTTAATATTTAAATTATTGTCTAAATAACGTACACACAATGTCCAGATTTTTAATGTTTATACTAGGTCTTGTAAAAGATCCTTCATATATTTCGCCTTTTTTAATAACAGATACAACTTTCCCAAAAAACATTTTGGGCATATTTTTACCAAAATTGACTGCAACCCATGTTCCTTATTCAATATTTGTTTGAAAAACGTTTATTGGCATATTTATTACTCCCCGATTCCCTGAACTTGTAGACTGTGTTGGTTCTATTATAGCATCAATGCCCGATGGTTGATCGATTTCATTGTCATTTTCATCATTAAATGTTTGGTTTAATAGATTATTATCTTCACTTATCTCTGATTCTGATGATTCAAAATCATGAGCACGAACACTTTTCCCCTCTGGAACTTTTAAACCTGATTTTCTAGTTTTTTTTGTGAGCACTCTCCAAATCTAGACTCTTTTAAAAACATCGTTAAGTTATTTTCTACAATTTTACATTGTGGTGTTGCTGCGTGTCTGTAGTGTTCCGATAATATTGCCGAATACATGCCAAAGAATAATTTTCAATTGTGGAAGGATTGTTGGGTGACCAAAATAAAACAATTCTTTCTTGGCCCATGTCAATATTGTGGGACGTACCATTATGAACAAGAAAGCTATATAAGGTTATACATTTTTAATTTTTTTTTACTATTTAGGTTTCAAGATTTTAGATGAATAATACTTACACACTATGTGTTACATTTAAGGTTGTAGTATGGTAATACGTCCACCACCTTCCCAAACGATCAACAAATAATTTGAATTCATAATTCATATAGTTCAAAACATTTATTGATAAATACTGAAGAGCATTGACAATTGCTTTATTGTCTTGTACTATGACTTCAGTACTTTTATTTAATTTTTGAATGAATTCAATGACTAATGAACATTTGATCAACCAAATTTTATTTTTCATTATTTCATTAAATAATACACTAGAAAATAAAAAAAAAATATATAAATTACAATTTGTAAATAATCAATTAATCTTTTTACTCACTTTTCATCTGGATATTTTAAAGTATAATTAATAATATTTAATAATTCTAAATCCAGTTCCTCAGGTGATGATATATTTAGGGAATTCGACCATTGATGGATTGAGGGGGGTTGGGGTTCAAAGAAATCATAAAATTCATAATCCAAAAATGGTGTGTCTCCCATTATTTCCTTTTTTTTTTGCAAATGTTTTTTTGCTGATGAGGAATTGTGCATAATTTTGTAGTCCCTTGCTATAACATAATTTTGTGGTTGTTTTGATTTTTTCCGAAATTTTTTTTTTCCCCAATTTTGACCCAAAGTTTTTTGACACGAATTTTGTTACAATTTTTTGAATGGCCTTTTGTTCCCCTTTAACTATCAACCCCTCCTCTTCCTCCTTTTCTATAAATTGAATTAGATTATTTACGTCTTTGAATCTTTTAAGAATCTGTAAATATTATTATTATTGTATTATTATTATTAGTGTATTATTATTATTGTATTATTATTATTAGTGTATTATTGTGTACTTGTGTATTATTGTTCATTTTATGTTGAATTGCTCCAATTTTGGTTGTAATAATATTATTGGAATGGTCTATATTCATAAAACGACAGTCGTACCTTAATAGTAAGTAGTATAATGATGCCGTATTTATGTCCCTGAATTTTTGTATCACGGACGCAATTTTCAAAACTACCTCCTGATATATATAAATAAAATTAATATTAAAACACCAATGCTATTAAAAAAATAAAAATATGTATACTTCATTAGTAAAATGTCGTCTAGGTACAATTATTACTGGTATAATGCTCTGTATAAGTGCTTTTTTTGTGTGGTGCAACATTGTAGATTTAAATATAAATGATTTTGAACAAAATGCGCATTTTATCATTAGGAAATCATTTTTCTTTTCATTAAACTCAAAAGTTTGAATGTTGTCATTGTTTTCAAAAACTTTAAAAAATAATAAAAAAAAAAAATCGTTATTCTTGGTTTAAATACATAGGCACGATTTTTTTTTATAAGCATTTTATGTTCGAATATTGACAAAATTTGTCAACATCTCGAAAATTATCAATCATTGGAATTAAAAAATTATAAAATGTTCAGTTTTTATAACTAAGAGTTGAAAATTTAAAACAAAGATTCTCTTAAATAATTCATACTATAACCAAAAAGTGTAAAAGTTGAAGAACTTAATTAAATACTTACAGTTATTGAATTGCATGTTGTATGAAAAAAACTAGATATTCAAAAATAATAAATAATTAAATAAATAATCGTAGCAGTATACTAATGATCTTTAGTACATGGAGTTGTAACCTTCTTAGAGTCAAAATCGACAACAACCATATTCGAAGTTTCCACGACGGATAAGACACGGAGTATAGAGTTTTCCACGGATAGGTCGTTGAATCATAATTTTCAGGAACGGCTACTAAGTATGTTAGTGTCATTATTAAAATTAAAAAAAAAAAAAATAAGCAAACATCTTATCAATTGTTATCATAGTGACTGTGGCGCGCTAAGAAACGTTACCACCACGGTTATCTACTCAAGAGTAGATAACCATGGTTACCACCATGAACTACTACATAGGACTGGACACTACAGAGAAAATCACGGACACAAAGTTGTACAAGGTTCGTACACATGCGATGTAACTGCACTCTGTCTGTTGGTAGTACGAACTACGTTTTTTATAGGATAACCAATTTGGATTGATAAGGTGTAAACACTTGGCTTATTAGTTGATTGAAAATATTACTCCAGTTAAGCTCACCGCTAGAGTAGCAAAAATACACAGCTTCGTATGCAAGATTTAAAGAAAATTTAAGCAAAACACAATAAATTACCACTGTATTTGTTAAAATATGAATAAATTATAATTTTTTAACCACAATAAAAAATGTCTATTATTTATGAACTATCCCTGGAGTCACAATTTGCTTTCTGATTGGTTTAATTGGTGGTAAAGAAAACAATATAGTAGGATCACAAATAAATACAAAATACAAGGAATCGGTGCTTGCATTGATTCTTTTGTATCAACATCAAAATTATTAATTAATGAAAAATCGTCACACTATACTAAATTTTCATTTAATTTTTATTGTTTTGTTAATATAAATTTAGAACATTATAAAATGCCTAATTTATGTTTTGTTCCTGGGTGTAATACTGGTTTCCTAATCAAGGCCGTATCTAGAAATTTTTTTCGGGAGGGGTCCAAAACATGTATATTGTAATTTTATTGAATTTAGATTTAGATTTTTGATATTTGATTAAAAATAAGACAGAAAAAGATTTAATCTTCTTTTATTAAAATATAATAAAATCAAATAAACAAAATTACTTTGACATCTTGTCACCTTACACTATACAAATATGAAATATAAAATTAAGAAATAAAAAATGCACAAATACAAATCATATTATTTTAAGCTAATAATATGTTCCTATCTTTTTGAAGAGCAAACTGGTTTAACACTTCATCGGGATTAACTGTAACATCTCTATGGACACTTAATAGAGCTAGTCCAGTTAGTCTTTCTTGTCCCGTAGAGTTCCGTAAAAATGTCTTGACGCGTTTTAATGTCGAAAAAGTTCGTTCGGGAGTTGCTGTAGAAACCGGTAATGTAGCTAGTACTTTTAATAAAAAATGAATATTTGGAAAAAGTTCAGGATTACAATAATTTAGTGCTTCTACAGCTGTATGTGGACGATCTACATCTTTGAAAGCAATCCATTTTATTTTCCACAATTTTAGTTCTGAAGGTAATGTGTCAACATTTATAAAATCTGAATATATACTAAAATCTGATTCTAAAATTGGAGATTTCAAACACATTTTTGGTATTAATAAATACAAAGACGATAAAATCGTCTTGTGTTTGGAAAACCGTTCTTTAAGTTGACTAATAAAATCATCATAGAATGGAATTGCAATTGCAATACGAAAATAGTCTTCAGGAATTTTGGTATCCACATTTATTCTAGTTGTTGAACGACTTACTAACCTTGGTATTTTTATTTTTTCTTCCTCGTTCACGGATATGAACAATTGTTCTGATTTATTGAATATTTTTTTGAAATTTTCATTAATATTTGTTCGCATATCTTTCACTTCACTTAAAACAGTTTCAACATGATCTACTGCTTCACTCAAATCACATTTCACCGACTGCAATATTTTACATAATGGCAAAGTTATAGAAAAAAGTGTGGTCGCAGTTATCATACTTATTATAAATTCACTAGTTGTTACACACTTATATAACTGTAAAGCTTTAGATGATGTTTCAATGTCAACAAATAATTGTAGTTCTTCTAATGTTGCAACAATAGATTTATATATTTCTGAAAATCTAAGCATACCATCATGATTTTCAACCCACCTAGTCTCACACATGGAAGTTAATTTTGTCCATTTAGTTTCAGGAAGAAATTCTTTTATTTTATTTTTTAATAATTCAGTTCGTTTGGCCGACATTTTAATAAAATTTCCTACAGATTTTATTGTTCCAATACAATTTCGAATATGGTGAATGTTTGACGAATGAGCAAGTGCTAAATTTAACGAATGTGCACTACAGTGGACATAAAGTGCAGCGGGATGTACTTCTCTTATAACAGACTGTACTCCTTTAAAATTACCACTCATGGCTGCGGCGCCATCATAGCCTTGGCCAAGTAAATAGTCACATTTATACCAAGATTTTTTAAAGTAACTATAATTACTGTGGCCAAATTTTGACCAGTGGTAGAATTTACCGGTACAAATTGTAAGAAGTCTTCTTTCAATACA